CTGCCCTGACTAACGCCTGATCTCGTATAATATGGCTTAGAAAGGCATCCTCCACAGTCGACAAACTGACGCCTGTCCCGTAAGTAACTGGCAAAGAACCTCAACGTATGTGGCGTGCAACCCTTGCCAGCTAACTTCGAGAGCAAGACATCATTATCGACTGTGTCGAACGCCTTCCTGAAGTCAAGATACGCGACGTCCACTTGTAAACCTGCATCCACCGATGGTACTAGTGTTGACATAAGATGAAGCAAGTTTCCTGTGGTTCCACGTCCCGGACAAAAGCCATGCTGAGCATTAGATAAGTGAGCCTTAACCTGGTCATAGAGGGAACTGTGCACAGCTGCTTCAAATACTTTGGCAGGAGAAGACAGGACAGCAACAGGTCTATAATCGCTCGCCTCTGTTCCGCCACTTCCTTTTGGGACTGGCACGACGCGCGTAAGTTTCCACCTCTCTGGAAAGGTCGAAGACGAGATACAAATATTAAAGATGTGTAACAGTGGTTCACAGAATGCGCCGCGACAGTCCCTCAGAATGAACGGTGGTATGCCGTCCGGTCCCACGGAGCGCTTAGATGGTAAACGGGCGAGCGAGCGGTACACCGCTGCTTTGTCTAAACGGTCAAGTTTTGATATGCAGTAGGTTATTAGTGGAGAAATTTGGTTTGCTTAAACTAAATAGAGGTGCAGTAAAAATCCCCATATTTTTTGCTAATATTATAAAGTTTGTGTGTTCGTTTGTTACTAAACCTCGACAAAACGGCTGAAGGGATCAGGAATTCAGGATGAAATTTGGAGCAGAGTTATATGATCGTTTGTTTCTGATAATGACTTCTCCCGTCTTGGGTGAGGCGAGAGGGAGTGTCAGACTCTTACTGACTAAAAATCACATCGTTCCTAATCCTGCTCTCCGAGCCCCGGCAACCCGTTAGGCCTTTCGTGGCTTCGTATCGGGCATCCGCTCTATTGGGCCATTTCTGTGATGGTCTGATTGATGGCTCTTCGAGGTACGCATGGGTCTGGTTCTGGTCGGGCGGCGAGTTACCTTTGCTGGTCTTGAATAATAATAGGCTACTTTTTACGCGGGCGGAGCCACTGGCTGAGCTAGTAAGACATACGTCTTTAAATCTATCAGTTAGATAGAAATTTGATCAAATAGGTAAATTATGTTATGATCGATAAATACTATTAATTCTGACTTTATCTTCAAAATACGATCTTGATGTATTGCAAAATCATACAAAATTGTAACCTACATAATATTTAATGCATATCTTGATCATTTTAAGCATACAGCTTGTCAATTAGACTTCTATAATGAATGCCTAGCACTATGACTAGACTTATTTTGAAAGGTGCACTCAATTTACTTATGAATTAGGTACTATAAAATTGCTCCTTTTAGATTTCAAAATGTTCAGTCAGATCATATTCATTATAGGTACTAGCTGCACTCGACGGTTTCACTCGCTCTGCTCGGCGCACACATAACTATTAGGATTTTCTCCTGTGTCGTGGGTGCGTTTATAAACATACAAGTTCACATACACATGACAGATCAACTCAGCTCCCAGACTCGGAACAACAATTTATGGATGACACAAAGAGTTGTTCCGTGCAGGAATCGAAGACGATGCGCGGAAGCCAGTTGCCCAACCACCGCGTACACTGTACAGTCATCTGATACAAGATTGTAGGATGAACGATTTTTTAAATTAATGTTATAAAACTGTAGAGTTTATTTAGACGCAGTAATCTCCTAAATTCCTGGTTCTAAATGAATAATTAATCTTTGGAACGAGAAAACACAAATATTGGATTACGTACTGCTTGATAAAATAATAAATAATAAAATAAAATTTTTATTCATATTAACACTGGTCAACATAGGTACAAAAATATATCTTAATTAAGCGACAAGATCTTAAAAATATTATGCCTATACTAGGAATATTCCTGTGTCACAGGCGATAGTAGCTCTAAAAATATGTTAATGTAAGATAACTTATTTATAGTATATTTTAAATATTTAACACAATTTGCAGAAGTAAGGTTGGATTTTTTAATATACTACACTACATACATACATATAATATCACGCTTTTTATTCCCTGAAGGAGAATAAAAAGTTGAACCTACATAATACATTAATATAAAATTAAATAAATATCGTAAGCTATATTCATATATAAACTAGATAATATTACATGTTACTATGCTATCAATTATTTTAGATCGTCTGCAGAAACACAAAAAACTAGGTCAGAGTCCATACGGTCACTCACTTGTTACAGTTTGATCAAATGTGCTTGGACAGCAATAAATTGCTAAGTAAGCTAACCTGTTAATATCCAATTGTTGTACAAATGAACTAAACTAAACGTAATGACTAATCGAATTGGAATTTCTACTTAGCATATGTCACTTTATGCGCCTTCATAATCAATGGAATTGATATATCTGTGTTCGGCTATCTTCCTGGCTGGGCACTCTGCGTCTCCTGTCTTATGACTGTTGGGCTTGTTAAAGCGAGAGCATGTTGAACATTTAGGGATGTCGATTTTCTTCGTGCAAACGGATGTCATGTGTCCTGTTTCTCCACAATGGCCACACACTGAGTGGAGCTCCCGGCATGTCTTTGCCGCGTGGCCATACTGCTGACATTTATAGCAACGCGTTACCAACGTAAAGTCTCTGACAGGGCAAGACGTCCAGTTTATATAGAGTCTCTCTTGCGATATAAGCACTTTACGGATGTTGGCCGGAACTTCAATAATGTAATTACAAGTCGGCGCATCTTTTCTGCCAGATTTGTGACTTAACTTCACAGTCGTTAGGAAAGACTCTATAGTCAACTCTTGGACCTTACCAGCTATGTTTTGCTCGAATATGCACCTGAGGACATCAGCATCGGATAAAGTAGACGGCACTCCTACGACAGTGATTCTTGGTTTTCGTTTCTTTGCTTCATCGGCAATAAGTCCAGATGATGATAGGGCTAGTGCTTCTTTAACTTTCTTAGCATCTTCTTTGGACTCAGTGCTGATTATAACGCCTCCATTATGGATTTTACGAACACCACGTACATGTAGCTGCAATTGGTCAGGGCGTATGATTTTTTGGACGAGAGATTTTGTTTCATCGCTAGATTTTGACTTATTTGGTGGGTAAATTGCAATAGAGGTCAGTTTTGTAGGTCGCACGAAGTCAGTTCCCTTCTTTACCATGTCAGCAAATGAAACATTTCCCGTTGATTTTGAATCCTTGATAGTTTGCTTGATGTCCGAAATTTGTTCCACAAGGTCCTGCTTTTCTTTCATCTCATCTATAATGTTAACGGCTATACGGGCTTGCTGCTTCAGAGCTTGATATAAGACAGCCATTTGCGAGACATCAGCACCTATTTTTCGGCTCAGATTTGATATTTTAAGTTTTTGTTCCGAATTAAGTTTGCCCTCTGTGGCAATAGTGCAAACTTCATGTAACAGGTCTTCAATGTTTGACATCCAATTTTGAATATCAGGCGTCGACACAGCTTCTATCGAGAAGTCAGAATTACGGCTGCTCTTTAATGGTGAAGTACAGGAAGCCAGCTTACTCGGGTTTAAATCCATCTTTGAAACAACTAAGTTTGTATTTCCATTATTTATAACGAGGTATCACAATAAGCAGAATAATAATGTAGGTCACTATTATTGCTTTGATTCAATATTTCTAGTATGCACGTCTGTTCACATCGAACGTCAAGAATCGAATCAATTGATGGGAGCATAGCAGCGCGACAGGAAAGGAATGATTATGACCACGATATAATAATACTAATTCTCAATTTCACTGTGTAGTGACGACAGAATAAAGAATATAAAGTGGTGACAACCACCGCCACTCTTCCCGCGGGTTTCGTATACCCGACTAACATTTTATATGGAACTTATGTCAAAATTCTATCTCAGTAAGCAAATCTACAGATAGATAGGTTATAGAAAATGGCCGTAAGGGACTACACATTTGACAGAGACAGAGAGACAACTTCTTGTGTAGAGAAGGTCCATATTCTAGGTGTTGATGATGAGGATGATAATGATGATAGCACTAATTCCCTATATTATCCGATTTCAGAATGAACTTCGCGATAGAAAAATCACCTTTGTCACAGACGCCAGTCACTCGCGAGAAGATGGAGAAGTGGGTGGATGCCCAGGTGAAGGGGGAGAAGGCAGACATAGACGTCTACGGGAAACCAACGGACAAGATGCTGAAGGAACTGGAGAATGTCAGGAACCTTAGCAAAGAGCTGCAGGATAATCTTCACGTGAGCTTCCATAACTATTACAATTTTCTTCTTCTCCTCTAAAAATATCTTTTGATTTATTTCGTTGGTGGGAACCAAGACAGTTGTTCGAGTCCCTGGGATGCGCCGGACTTCAATGTTCCGATGACTGTATCTACTGTAGATCCTGGCTTACAGGAGTTGCGGCGGATTCGGGAGGTCGTGGCGTGCTGGTCCCATTAAAAAAATTATAACCATTTTATTAAGGGCCACTAATTTCGCCTAGTGGTGCACGATCATGTGGCCTACGAGTACACCTACATAAGCAACCTATTCATTAGTATTCAAATATCTTTCTTCTCTGAAACGTTTCCCATTCTAACATATTCTTCTTCAATCAACAGGAATTAGAGAACTCAGTCCGCATTGCTGAGGTGGAGAACCAAGCGATGAATCCAACGGCTCAAATCCTGGACTTCTCAGAAGACCATGAGTTCGTGCCCGACAACAAGGACACTTATTACGCAGAAGAAGACAAAGTGGATGCCAAAGAAGAAGAGAAGAAGAAGCTAACGAAGGGTAAAGGACCAAAAACAGAGATCCAAGAGTTTTACAAGGATCAGTGTGTGTTTTTGACTGGGGGGACTGGATTTTTGGGTAAAGGTAAGTCGCATGGCTTTTATTGGAAGGTTCCAAGAGTTTCTGTGCCTTTAGATAAAAAGTTAATGATGAAAACACGACAATTGGGATGATGACAGCGGGTATGAAAATTAAAAATGTAATTAGTCCGTAAGTCAGGTAATGAAAAAATATTAGACACGTATTTTTTATTTTGTCGTAAAATAAAACAATACTTAGATAAAACGAATCAAAGTTTTGGAGTGGGGGCTTAACGTCATTTCTACGTATAAAATGTTCATAGAAGTGACGTCACGCGACATTTCAAATCTATATATCGTCGAAAGTATTCATTTCTGTAAGAAAATAAAAAATACTTGTCTAATGATTTAAAATAATCTACCAGACGGACATTAAAATTAAAAATTAGGTATCTACCCTATTGTTGATGTGTATTAGCTACTCTGGCGCAGTGTCACCCTCTCTGCTCATCTCCTGTTGATTGTTAGCCTTAAATATAGTTTATATAGCATAAAACAGAAACTCTTGGACCTAAAAATGAATCTAGACAAATGCCTATCGATATTAAACTGTCAAACACCAAGCGGTCACCGGTGACCGCAACCTATTGTTCTATAATTGTGTCTGATGACGGTACTCGAGTTAATTATCGTTGCGGATCACTATAAAATGTGTAGAACCGCTGTACAAGTATCATACGTTCATATAATAACTATCGTGAGACATACTAAATTACTTACCTAAAATCGCTGGTTGGGTACTCACGTTAACATACTGAGGAAAATTCTACTAGTTTTAAAACACAGAGGGGCTCTGTGGTTCGAACCGCCACCATCGTGCATGGTGCTCATGAGGGAGGAAGGACCCATTTGTGGTTCGAAACTAGTAGAGCTTTTCTCAGTATGTTCACGTGAGTAACCCTCGACTTTTAGTTAATTTAGTATCATAAGAATCGTCGAAAGGACTACAAAGACAGAGACCAGGCAGCAGCGCTCCCTGAGTCCTTAGTACGAATCTGATGTACGTATAAAGTTATCGAAAAGAGTACGCGTTCGGAGCTCTGATTAGCCGGCTCCAATAAACCAACCAATTAGAGCGCCGAACGAGGTCTTGTTACGAATAATTTAAACGTAAGACAAACTTGTACTAAGGCCTCTGATTGGCCGACTCCAATGAACCAATCAAATGAGCACCGAGACAAAGTCGTAGGTACTAAGGCGTCTGATAAACCTGCTAGACTAATTCCGTAAAATGTCAATTCTAATTTTTGAATTGAGCTCAAACGCATTCTCGTCCGTCATTGGTCGTGATTGTTCTCTTAACCAATGACATGGTGGACCACGATCGAGCTTATTTAAATTGAATTATCATTTTATAGAATGACCTTTTTTTTGAGGAGGGATAATCATCCAATAACTTCTCCCGCCTTAGGTTAGGTGAGAGAAAGTGTCAGGCCCTTGCTGACTAAAAACCACCCCGTTCCTATTACTCTTCGAGCCGGAGCCCCAGCAACCTGTTAGACCTTCCGCGGGCCAGGCTGAACCTTTTAAACTACCATGTGGATCGCGCCTGCAAACGCGAATTGTGACAAATGATTATATGGCAAACCCTCTTATGTAGAGGAGGCTCATGGTCCACCAATGGACTGTCACAGATTTTGATGATGTATCATCAACAGTCTATAAATGCCCACCGCTGACCAAAACCCTTCTCACATGGAGGTTTGAGCATTAACCACCACGCTTGCTCAATGCGGGTGTGCGATTTCAAACTTATAATTAGAAATTAGAAAGCCAGGTTCCCTCACGACGTTTTCCTTCACCGTTTGTCAGTGGTGTCTAAATATCTTAGAAAGTACGTATAACTCGGAAAAAGTCACATTGGTACTTGCCGTTGGTAGGTTTCCAAACCCCACCCTCACGTATGAGAAGCAGGCATCTTAGCCTCCAAACTACCACGTTGATGATTCGAGTATTATAACTTTCGTGAGACATACTAATTATATTATTATGTTTTCGACTTACTCACGTAATTATTTGACGAGGAACTCGACTAGTTTCAAGCCATGCTAGTGGCTCATATTCATGAGCAGCATTTTGCGACCCGCGAATCACGACAGAGGGCGCGTTGGGCCCGCAGACTCGAGTAGTCAGTAGCATCGTGATAGTCGCCATAAATATATTATAACGTTGATGAGGTATATTTTTTTATAGAAATTTTATACGAGGACGATGGGCATTTGTTTATATATATATCTTGGTTTTGTTTTCAATGGTAAAACTGCATTATGTGTGTGTGTGTTGATTACATTTTAAATCAGGTGTTATTGCGGTTTTAAGTTCGCATTTTAATTGTGGGAGAGCCATGCTTCGGCATGAATAAGCCGGCTCGACCGGAGTAATACCACGGCCTCACAGAAGACCGACGTTAAACAACGCTTGTGTTGTGTTTCGTCGTGTGAGTGAGGTTACTGGAGGCACAATTACCATCTTCCCCAATCCCTGAATACCCAACAATTCTCAAATTCCTAATCCCCAAAAGGCCGGTAACGCACTTGTAACGCCTCTGGTGTTCCAGGTGTCCATGGGCGACGCTGATTACTTACCATCAGGTGATCCGTCTCCTCGTTTACCGGCTTATACAAAAAAAATGTGTATCCATTTGTTTATTTTTCGTGAAAACACCAAGGACGGAAGAATTTTATGTAAATAGCTTGTTAATTAACATAATGTACGCGTATTTTTTTAATCAATTTAAATGTATTCGAATTTAAATTTGGAACAGTTTTAGAAGCGTTCTGGTTTTTTTTTCATAGATATGTTTTTTTTTCTTTTATTTTTTACGTGACGTTTTTAAAATTAGTTTCGTAAATAATTCGTGTATTCTTTAAATACTATTATTAGGTACTCATCCAAGCGAGGAAATAAAAAAAAGTATAATTATATCTGTAAGTTAGAGTAAAGAAAAAAAAAATTGAATGTCAAGCTTCATAATCTATTTTCAGTAGATACGGTGCTACGTTTTTCGATTATGTTAAATAGTCATAGATATGATACCTCATTTAAAGTGGGCCTAAGAAACGTAATTAATGCCATCTCTATTAGAGCTTCCAAAACTAATAGATTCATTATTAAAAATATAAACAGTAATAACGAAAGGAAAAAAATAAATACGTACAATTTATGATGTACACCAAAACTGCCTCGTTGGCCGAGTGGTCGCAAGTGGTCTTGGGTTCAATTCCTTATCTGTCTGGAATTGTGTCCGATTGGCAATAGGCTCACCCCCTATTAAATGGGACTCGTAACAGAAATATTGAAAAATGGGTGTTACATGGTACAGTGGCATTAAGTGCAGTAATGTGCACCTCTGCCTACCCCTTCGGGGATAAAAGGCTAGATGTTATGTTATTAAGATACACTAAAACTAATAGAGAAAATGAAATAAAAGAAAAACGAAAGTGGTTTAGTTTCCTTCCTATCGGACACATTTCCAGACTCCGTGCTACCACTGAGATTTGTTAAAAAGTCCAGTAGTAGGTACCTTGACCGACCCAGGAATCGAACCCGAGACCACTTGCGACCACTCGGCCAACAAGGCAGTTTTAGTGTACCCATCATAAGTAGTACACAATTACACATTTATTTTTCCTTTCCATATATTACTGTTTATACTTTAGCTACATAAATAAAACTGTTTAAAAATCATATAGGTAATCCAATCGAAATGTAATCGCCTCGCCTGGACTTGACCTTTGATACCAACGCGGAAAGGTCTAGTCGTACGGTCTAACAACTGCGTCAGACGGTCAATTTAAAAAAAAAACTCGCTTGTCATAGCTCTCATTCATTTGTTAAAAGTCATTATGACTGTTGAATAAATATTAAAGTACAACTTTACGTTTGTTTAAATAGTTCATTTACCTGAGGGCCAAGCACGAATAACTATCGCATTCGTATCGTAACAGTATCGAACGAAGTAAGCGTTTTGATTGGTTGGTTCACTCGAGCCGGCCAATCAGAGCGCCGAACGCACTCGATACTATTACGTTACGATTGCGATAGTTATTCGTGCTTGGTACTCTGTAAAGAACATAACAAGCGACTCCCGCGCTGTTACGCGGACGCCCTCTACTCGGATCTTATTGGTCATAGATAGCGTTTTTATAACATGTGCCTTTAGCCAAACGCCACTTTATCGTTTATTTCTGTCGCGGAGAACCTAACGGGTAACCGGGGCTCCGGCTCGACGTGCAGGAGAAGGAACGGGGTGGTTTTTAGTCAGTAAGAGTTTGACACTCCTTCCCGCCTCACCCAGGCGGGAGCAGTCATTCGATGATTATCCCGGCTTAAAAAAAAAGCTTTTATTTCTACTGTGCTTTAGCGCTTGTCTACAGAGAGAGTAGAAATGAAAATGTATGGGGATGACACTGACAAGTGTTAAAATTTACGTCAATTCCATGTAATTTGGTTTTCTTTTCTACATGTAGACAAGCGCTAAATGGCATTTGGGTACAGTCATTGTTGTAAAATACAAAAAAAATGAAAAAGTCAATATCAAAATGATTTATTTTAATAAGACCAGGGTGCTTACTCTTGAATCCAATTCCGATCGATCAACATTGATATTGTGAAATTTCGTACTCTTGAGTTGCAACACTGGCGCCCATTGCTTCCGTATTGCGTGGATATTGAATGAACTAAGTGGTATTGAGTTTGGCTTTATATTCCGTACTCTGAATGCTACGTTAACAGATACGTAATGTGCACCTCTGCCTACCTCTTTGGGGATAAAACGCGTGATGTTAATGTTATATTAATTATATCTATGGTCCTTATAGCCGGGGTAACCATCTAACAAAACTTCGTATCCATTTTTACGAATTTTTGTAGGCTGTATCTTTTATGTAGGCTACAGACATAAACTGTAAAAAATAGTAACTACCTATGTCTATTAATAATAAAACAATATTTATATTATACTTCTCAAACCTTGAGATTGACAGATAGACAACAGGATAATGT